GATACTCCTATGATATATGTATAGATGGTAAGAAAATACATTGCATATGATTTGTAGGTATTTAAGGAATGAATACAAATGGCATTTTGTTTTTGTCTCTCTTGGTAGTGGAACCCCTAAAATACATCTTATATAGAACCCAAACATATTAAAATAGAATTGCTGCAACTCTGCTAGAAGAAATACCAATCCACTCTCTTAGTCTACTCTGGACTCCAAAGCATCTCTACATAATACCGTTTATCTTTAAAATTTTTGCTGGAGACAATGATAGCCTTAAGACCCTCAGAATCAAAAGAACATTAAAAAGTAAATAAGTAAGCAGAAGGTATGCTATGCTCCCATATATTAGGCACAAAATCTTCCTCCTGTTTTCCTCTTCTTATTTGATAATCCTTTCTTTCTTCTTCCTCATCTATGTTTCATGCCTAGTTATGATACCACTACAGCCATGCAGATGGCAGGGTGGCATTTAGAGCTGAGAAGATTCTTGAACACTGTACTAAAATCCCCAGAATATGTGGAGAAGATAGGAAAGATTAGAATATAAAGAGGCCTAGATTGATCCAAGGTGTTTATATGTCAAAGCATATATTCAGGCTTGATGAAAAATAGGAAGTCAAGGATAAAAGGGGATAACAATCCATCTTTCCACACCAATTATAAAACACACCAGCAATACTACTCAAGAATAAACAATGATCACTTTTTAATCATTTGCAAGAGCAAGCACTTTTAAATGGACAGTCTACAAAGCTGTGCAAATGCTTTTAGGAATAGTCAAATGCTACTACTATGTTCTACATGTTTAAAGTTATTCTATGATCTAGTTTCTGTTTTGTAAAAAGAAAATTGTTTTCTATATGCTTTGAAAGTACTAGCAGGCACTCATCATAACATCTGGTAATTTCTTCCTTCTCCTGATTCAAAAGAAATTAAACATTCTTTTTGAGGATTTTCTATATTCCCTTCTGCTTATTTGCAATCAGTTTACATGAGTTTAGTATAGCATTTTCCATCTTATGGGCACTCAGTAGTTGTTGATTAAAGAACCAAATATTAACCTTCTAAAAATATTTTAGTCATTAAGGAAGTTAGTTTAGATCTATGTTTCATACCCTGATATTGACCTGTCACTAAGCAACAGAAATCTGTATTTTAAAGGACTGGAACTCACTCTAAAAATAAATTCTAATACAAATGCCATTACTTAAGACTCCCCACGTTGGCTAGCTTAATTAGTCATGTTCTAACCTGTTCTCTTCAATTAAAAAGAAAGTGTAGAAAACAATCTGCCTTTAACTTGTCAGCAAAGTACTTGCATTCAACTAACAAAGGAGCATATGAGCTCAGAACCATATTTATCCTTAGGTAATTTATATGTAAAAGACAATTCAGCAACCAGTACTATGCTAAAAATGCACGAGGGTTAAAATTTTTCAACAATACCTGTTAAAATTACATTTGTAATATTGTTCCCTCTGTTCAGTTTAAACAAATATAACAAAAAATGTGTTCTTGATCTGTTGCTCAGCATCTTGATTTAAGTAAGTACTCTTCCCCAAGAATGGGTGAGATCCACTGGGAGAGTACTCAACAGACATTACAGATGAGAAAGGAGACATGAAATAGAGTCTGATTGTGAATTATTTTGGCTTTACTCTTAACTCTTCGGTCACTCCTTCTCAGTTTCCTCTATTTACTTCCCTAGAGGAACACATTAATCAAAGGTACTGTCCCTAGTTGTCTTCTCTTTCCTTCTACTTGTGTTTTTTTCCTTGCTGAACTCACTAATTTGCACTGTTTCAACTGTCATCTCAATCTCTCTAGACCTGGGCTCCTTCCTGAGCTTGTTTCACATTTTGTATTACCAGCTGAATATCTCTATCTGGGTGTTGTGCTAGTACCTAAAACTTAACATGTCCCAAACCAAGATCTTCATTTTCCCCAAACAAGACCTTCTGATTATACCCGCTTTTGTTAAAGGCATTCTTATTCTCTCATCCTGGAATCCTACTTTTTTTTTTTTAACTTCTAATAGTTGATCCATTGCTAAGTATTGTTGACTCTATCTCCCCTACTGCACAGTATCTCTTGCACTTTCCTCCATATTGCAATTTCTACTACCACTTCAGTACAAACTGCTATTAATTCTTATCTAGACTATTATATGAGCCTTATAACTGGTCAGTAAACATTTGCTGAAATGAATGTGTGAAATAAATGGTATCCCTACTTTAGGTCTATCACCACTTGAATTCATCTTTTACACATGGCCATATTAAGTTCCTAAAACACAGTTCTAACCTTATTACTCATCTATTCAAAATACAGGTTCCTACTTCCCACATAATTAAATACATTTTTCTATTTCACAGTCACAATATTTCACATTTACGAGCTCTAATCTGTCTTTCCAAGCTTATTTGCAAATTCTCTGAAACAACTTACCCTCACTGGAGCCAAGATAGACTATTCACTTCTCTATACATATTATGCTGTCTCACAACTAGGCCATTTTTCATGTTATTCCTACACCTGTAATAATCCTACTCATCAATCAAGGCCTATCTCAGATGTCATCTCCTCTGTGAAACCTTTCCTAACTCCCCATGATGGTGGTTCCTAACTTTCCTCTGAAACCCTACAACACCTGACTGGCACTTCTTTAAATCATTTATGACCTACCTTTTATTAGGGCAATAAAATAAAGCTTGCCTTATCCCATATGGTTTGAGGAAAGAAATTTGCTTTGTTCATATTTGAATACTCTGCAATGCCAAGAACAGTAGTGTGTATAAGTTCTCAATTAATATTTTTAGGGTAGGGAAAAGAATGAGCAAATAAAGGAGAGTATACATGATACAGGGAAACAATAAGTGGTAAGAACTGAGTTCTAAAATAAAATATTAATCCATATATAAGAGTGGTAGCCAAATTGTAGCCAAACCTCCTTTATACTCATTTTAAGCAAACACTTTTAACCATTATTTTTGGAAATCTAAATTTATTTATTTTTAATACTTGTATTTTACTACCTGCCAGGCACTGTTATAAGTCTTTTATATGTTAATTTATTTAATCCTTATAACAACCCTATTTTACAAATGGGGAAACCGAGGCATACAGACTCAACAACTTGCTTAAGGTTACAAGGTGGCAAAGCCCAAGCAGTCTCATTCCTGAGACTTCATCATGACAATATAGTATACCTATAAACATATACTTCCCTGACTTTAAAATCTGAGTAAATTGGGAGCTGGGTGCAGTGGCACATGCCTGTAATCCCAGCACTTTGGGAGGTCGAGGCAGGAGGATTGCCTGGGGTCAGGAGTTAGAGACCAGCCTGGTCAACATGGTGAAACTCCGTCTCTACTAAAAATACAAAAGTTAGCTGGGCACGGTGGCGCGTGCCTATAATCCCAGCTACTCGGGAGGCTGAGGCAGGAGAATCGCTTGAACCCAGGAGGCAGAGATTGCAGTGAGTCAAGATTGTGCCACTGTACTCCAGCCTGGGCAACAAAGTGAGACTCCGTATCAAGAAAAAGAAAGAAAAATCTGACTAAATTGGAAACAAGGTTGTATTTTCTTGAAAACTCAAGGTCATCATTATAACTTAGCTTTATATAGTACAATGACAAACTGAGAAGGCTGATGAAATGCAGAGGGCTCCTATACTGAACGTACCAAAACAGTCAGGTTTTGTGGCTGTTTTTGTTCTGTTTTTTAGCTTTTCTCTTGATATTAAGCTGTTACTTATTACTTATGGCTATCAGTGTTCCTAAAATGGCTTCATCCTCTTTTCAATTTACTGGGATCTGGGAACCAAGCTTACCAAAAATATGTATTAAGTAGGAGCCAAAGAGGTTCCAAAAATCTTCTTTTACAAAGGTGCTTATGCTTTGTTACAATCAATGCTCCTATATCTTACAATGGCTTTAGGAGTGAATTCCACTAATTCTGTGAGAAGTCTGATCCAGAGATAAACAGGACATTACCATATAATTTCTAATGACTGCATAAAATAATTATGTAAACTAAATGAGGGTCCTAAAAGTTGGTTGGTCATGCTACCCCAAAAGTGATTTATACCAGGCCCAGGATTCATAACTAGAAAATGTAGTATTTCTTAGTTAGAGCAACCAAACAATGCATAATTTCTTACCTTTGCACCACCCAAAAATCCAAGCGAAATGGCAACTCTAGCTCGTAGATCTGGCCTGTCTTTGGGCCACACATAGGAAAGCATTGCTTTTATGATTTTCCGAGTATCAACATCTTTTAACTATTGAAAGAGAGAAAACAAAGCAGTGAATAACATGTCATTTCAAATATAACCATAATTCAATAATATAGAATTTATATATTGAGAAATACATGAAAACATTACAAATATAACTTTTATTATGAATCTAAGGCTAATATCTTTCAAATTCAAAATATTTTGGAGAAAAATTAACTATTTCAATTACTTTAAAAAAAGTTACTTATTTCTCTTAAATGTCTTACTTTCAATTTTAGCCACTCTCATATTGTTAAAAAAGTAATTTAGTGGTCATGAAGGGATATGTACTATACATTTATTTATTAAGCTACCAAAACACTACAGAAAATTCAAAGAAATTTTCCATATTTCCATTTTTGTAGTAGAAAATTTATATACATTTTGGCTATTTGTCAGTTTTTTATTTAAAATATTTTGGAGTCCCATGTCTAAACTCATGGTAGAGCAGAGTTGCAATACTCCTTTTAGGAAAGCAGAGGGTTTAGTATTGCCTATATCAAACAAAGTTGAGTTACTGAAAATTTCCTCACAAATGCAATTTTCCAGTAATACTCAATCTGATCTAAATGCATCTCACATTTTTTCTTTGTTCCATGTTCCTGAGACAACATTCCCATTAAATCCTTTTGCTTTACTTTCAGCTTCAGAGTGAGAAAATTAAGAATAAAAACCACACTTTCTAATACCAAACTAAGGAGACCAATATATATATATTCTAAAACTACTATATTATTATGGTTGGCAAAACAATCCCCATTTAAAAATTAAAATATTAACTTGATTTCTGGAAAAGATATTAAAAAGAATAAAACATACCCAAAAAACACTGAAAATAAAAAGAAAAGAGTAAAAAAAAAAAAGATACTGCTTATTACTGCTGAGGGCATATGAAAATGAGCAGTCTAATACACTGTTAATGGAGAATACGCTGAAATAATTTTTCTGGAGAGCAATTTGCTATCGTTTACAAGCTTTTAAAATAATATTGCCCTTTGTGTCAAGAATTCTACTTCTGGGAATTTATGCCAAAAAAAAAAAAAAACCCTTATAAATATGCTCTAAGTTGAATCAATTTTATCTCCTAAAAATCTCTTGAATCTATTTCTTTCCATTTCTAACCATAAACCTAATCTAAGCTATCATCAATTATCGCATAAACCACTGCAACAATCTCCTAACTGATCTCCCTGCATCTGCTTTGCCCTTATCTAGTAAGTTCACCCTGCAATCAGATTTCCCTTCCAGCTGAAAACCCTTAAGGGGTAGCCTATCATTCTCGGGATAAAAACTAAAATCTGTAACACGGCTTATAAGGCTCTGCTTGGTCTGGCCCCTGAATACCTCTCCAGTTATATTTTATACCACTGCTTTCAGTGTTTAGGCCGCACTGCCTTTCTTTCAGTTCCTTAAACATGCCATAATCCTTTCTGTCATAGGGACTTTACACAGTAATGTCTACTCTGTCTGGAATAATCTCTCTGTAACACCTTCCCCTGTGGTCCCTTCAACCTCTTTCAACTAGTTGATCAACAGCTCAAATAGCATTTCCTCAATAATGCCTTCCCCAGCCCATCAGGGTCCTTTGCCTTAGTCTCACACAGTACATTATTCCTTTCTTTCACAGTATCCATTTCAGTTATAAACTACATAAACAGCAGTACAATTATTTGATTAATATCTGCTCTCCTGCACATTCCACATGAGTAATCACTCTAATAGTAGTGCTCACTGTTGTAACTCAAAGCCAAATACAGTGACTGACATACAATAGGTACCTAATGAATACCTGTTGAATAACGGAATGAAAATTTAGCTATAAGGTTGTTTATACCAATTCTGTTTTAATAGAAACAAAATTGGAAACAGCCTAAATGATACATGTTGGAGAACAGCATAAATAGAGTGAACACATACAACAAAACACAGCCATTCAGAAATATACGTAGTGACAGAGGAATGTCTTAAATGAAAAAAGTAGAGTGAAAAACATATTTTTGTGGGAAAAAATGTGATATACGTAGGAGTTTACACCAAAAGTGTCAATAACAGTAGCTGCGAGTGGGTGGAATCATTGATACTTTTTTATGACTTTTTTTGTTGTTGTTGTTGGCTTGCTTCTACTTTTTATAACTCACATATATTCAGAGGGGTTAGAGAGGGAAGTTATATAATTTTGAGCAGATTTGCAAAGGAATTGGGGGAAACTGTCAACATATAATATAAAACTAACCTGCAGTATATAAGGTACTGTCAAGGCCCAGGACAGTACTTTATATACTACAGGTTAGTTTTACATTATAGTTATCCCTCTAGGACTCAGCAAACTACTTTTCTAGTCTTTTAGGCAGTTTATTGCATAAAAAGTATTAGAAATAAAATTGTTCATATTGTAAAAACACAAGGGTTATCTTCCTGAACTGCTTTAAATACCTAAGATGACAAAAATATGAAATGCTGAAAGTATAGTTCTTAACGTTTTATTTTATACACACACATATACATGCTCTTATAACTGGTAACGCCTTTGAAGGCAGTAATTTTAAAATTCCCTTTCCCAATAGAACTATTATGAAATAAATATAATTTAAAGCATTATAACACGAACTAGGGCATTTCAACCACTTTCCCATTTCATGAGTTTGTCTATCTTATTTTTCTTGATGGAATAATGGAAAAAGGCCCTGTTTTCACATATCTTTAGAAACACTCTCTTCTATCAAAACCTTCTACAACACATCCCAGAATTTCTTCAATAAGGACACAGTGAAGTTATGGCTAAGAGCAAGAAAATTATTCTAGTTGGCTTAATAGTGCATAAAATGTCACTTCATTTAACAAAATGGGTTCTGAAGTTACGTAATCATCCATTATGAGTCCATTAAGCTGTAAAGTACATGAATTCCATTAGTTTTGATAAACTATAAAGTTTGAAAAATAATGCATTTAAGTGGAGACCAAATCAAAGAGGCACCTCAGAGTCCGAGGCACAGTTTTGATTCATAATATTTTACATATTTATGGGGTACACGTGATATTTTGTTGAACGTACAGAATATGTAATGATCAAATCAGAGTATTAGGGGTATCTATCTCCTTGAGTATTTATCATTTCTATGTGTTGGGAACATTTTAAGTTCTCTCTTCCAGATACTTTGAAATACACATTATTGCTAACTATAGTCACCCTGCTCTGCTATCAAACATTAAAACTTACACCTTTTATCTAACTGTAGGTTTGTACCCATTGACCAATCTCCCTCTATCTCCCACGCCTAACCACACACCCTTCCCAGGCTCTGATACCTATCACTCTATTCTCTACCTCTATAAGATCAACTTTCTTAGATAACATGTGATATTTGTCTTTCTGTGCCTGACTTATTTCACTTAACATACTGACCTCCAGTTCCATCCATGTCGCTGCAAATGACAGGATTTCACTTTTTTATAGACTAAGAGTATTCCACATTTATATTATCGAATTTCCCATTGATGGACACTTAAGATTCCGTATCAGCTATTGTGAAAAGTGCTACAATCAACATACAACATGCAGGTATCCTTTTGATATACTGATTATCTTTCCTTTGGATAAATACCCAGTAGTGGGATGGCTGGATCATATGGTAGTTCCAGTTCCAGTTTTTTGAGAAATCTCCATACTGTTTTTCATAATGGCTGTACTAATTTATAGTCCCACCAACAGTGTATAAGAGCTTCCTTTTCTCTGCATCCTCACCAATATCTGTTATTTTTTGTGTTTTTAATCAAGGCCATTATAACTGAGGGAAGAGGATATCTCATGTGGTCTTGATTTGCATTTCCCTGGTGATTAGTGATGTTGAACATTTTCCCACATACTTGTTGGCCATCAACATGTCTTCTTTTGAGAAATGTCTTTTTAATTGAGTTTTTTTTATTATTGAGTTGAGTTCCTCGTATATTCTGAATATTAGTCTCTTGTTGGATGAAGTTTGAAAATATTTTCTCCCATTTAACAGGTTGTCTCTTCTCTCTGTTGTTCCTTTTGCTGTGTAGAAGCTTTTTAGCTTAATATAGTCCCAGCTGTTTATTTTTGGTTTTGTTATCTGCTTTTCAGGTCTTCACTACAAAATCTTTGCATAGACCAATGTCCTAAAGTATTTTCCCTATTTTTTCTTCTAGTAGTTTTACAGGTTCAAGTCTTACATTTAAGTCTTTAATCCATCTTGAGTTGATTTTTGTACATGGTGAGAGACAGGGATTCAGTTTCATTCTTCTATATACAGACTCCAATTTTGCCACCACAATTTATTAAAGAGAGTGTCCTTTTCCCATGTATGTTCTTGATGTTTTTGTCGAAAATCAGTTGGCTATAAATACATGGATTTATATTTGGATTCCCTATTCTGCTCTATTGGTCTACATATGTTTTTATACCAATACCATGCCATTTTTGTTACAATAGTGTTATAATATATTTTGAAGTCAGGTAGTGTGATGTCTCTAGCTTTATTCTTTTTGCTCAGGATTGCTTCGGCTACATGGGCTCTTTTTTTGGTTCCATACAAATTTTGGAATTCTTTTTTCTATTTCTGTGAAAAATGATGTTATAGTTTTCCTTGTAGAGATCTTTCACCTCCTTGGTTAGGTTTAATCCTGAGTATTTTTTTGGTAGCTATTATAAGTGGGATTGCCTTCTTAATTTTTTTCTTAATGATTTCACCATTGGTGTATAGAAAGACTACTGATTTTTGTATGTTGATTTTGCGTCCTGTAACTTTACCAAATTTATTTATCAGATGTAAAAGTTTCGTTGGTGAAGTATTTAGTTTTTTTCTAGATATAAAATCATATCATCAACTAAGAGGGACAATCTGACTTCTTTCCCAATTTGGATGCCTTTTATTTGTTTCTCTTGCCTGATTGCTCTGGCTAGGACTTCTAGTACCATGTTGAATAGGAGTGGTGAAAACAGGCATGCCTTTTTTAATACTTTTTTTTTTTTTTTTTTTTTTTTT